CATAATAAAATTGTATATACATACATGTATTAAACAATAAGAAATCAAAAATTATTTTGCTTTCTTATCTTTATATTTGATGCACTGTAAGAGATTCTTTGCTCATTAACTTGTGGCACAACCTCAATCCTAGCAATTCTTGCTCTTTCAACTTGAGTGGCTTGCTGAAAGGCTTCCTGTAGACTTTGAATATCTTTTGCTCTTCTTTCTTTCTATTCTATAATTATCACAGCAAAATCTTCTTGTAATTTTATGATTTCTGTATTTTTATCATAGATTTCCGTATTTATTATTCAAAAAAAAGACAAAATAAATTTGAGATAATTATCATACTTTTAATAAAGTAAACAAAATGTATATACAGTTAACTATGGATATAATGAACATGCATATAACAAATCTTAAATTTAAAAATTTATTATAAATATAATATATAATATATTTAAAAAAAAAATTATTACTAGACCCAAAACTCCATTATATTCATAATTAACTGATTACTGACCACATTCTTTATTTTCTTTGTTACCATAAGCATGAAGTTGAGATAGTACAGCAAAGATATGCTTACAGGCTAATTGACACTTTTTAAAATCTAAACATGTACAAATATACAATGTAATATCATTATTATCTTCTATAGAATTTTTCTTATGAACTGAGTATTCGACTTCATCATTCATTAAAGAACAAACCAACCAAACATCTGATTGAATTTTGTAGATGTCATTTTTATTTATATGCTTTGTCCTAGTAATTTCTCAAATGTGCTGTTGGTGTTGTTGTGAGTTCATTTGACCAATTACCAACTTACTTAAAAGAATTAAAAAATCCATATCCTGAAGCACAACCTCTACAAGCAAATAAATTTCACCATATCGCCAACATCCCGAATGCTCTCTCATATACATGTATTTCAATTTATGATAAAAAGCTTTGATTAAATTGTTCATATCTATTCTATTACATAACAATCCTCTAATATATATTATTCATATTTTATATTTGGGTTTCTATCAGTGTTTAAAATAATCTGCAAATTCTTCTATTGCTTCATCACCAGTCTCTCGCCACTGCTTAATTGCTTCCATGACTTGATATTATGCTTCTGCATCATTCCACCCCTCTGTTCTCATTAGTCTCCACAAATCTTGCTATACATTTGTTTTATTTGGATTCATATTTGCATCATGCTTGTGACCCAACCTTCTACACCAAAAACGCAGTATGTAAAAGTGATACAAAAATATAGAACAGTCTGGAAAACTTTTTTCATTCACCTTTATTTCTTCTCCAGTATCATTAATTATAAATATACTAGAACCTAAGTTCTCATTTTCACTTTTTAAAAAACCTAACCACCTTTTCAATGTCAACAATCTTTTGAACTCACTTATTAAGAATGCGATAGAATACCTATATTCTGTTTTTGGGTGGTGCATGATTATTGTAAAAAGATAATAACCATAGTAATTCATTTTATGAGTGCCATCTAGGCATAAAACTCTTGTGACTTTCATTATTTCTATCTGTTTTTTAGTCTGGAATGCAAATAGAAACTCAACATTATTTGTATTATTATGACATTTGAGTAAGCAACTTCTATCTACAAAAATAAACATGCATTTATAAATACTGTTACTATGTACTAGTAAAAAATAAATAAATGAAATAAAATAAAATTAATAAATATAACAATAAATTAATAATAATAAATAATATATATATATTAAAAAAATCATATTAATAAAAATAATAATAATAAAATAAAAATAAGCCTGAAATACGCTCAATGTTAGGTAAAGAAAATAAATAAATTAAAAATAAAAATTAAAGAATGAAAAAAAAACAAAAAACCTGAATACATTCTGTGGCAATTAAAAAAAGCAAAACAACTTAAAAATTAAAGAATAAAAAAAATTTAAAGAATAAAAAAAAAATTTAAGAAATAAAAAAATTTAAGAAATAAAAAAAATTACAAGTAAAAAAAAAAATAATTTAAAAATTAAAAAATTAAAAAAATCAAAAAAGATTTTTAAAATATAAATTAAACTTAAATCAAAAACCTGAATTAATTAGCTTTTCTTTTTATTTTTTCAAAAAGATTAATTCATTACTATCAAAATAAATAAGTTTTTTTATTACATTATATACAATGTTGTATATATTATCTTGTGTTATAAAAGTATTCTGTAACATTTAAATATCTTGAAACTGGCCTTGAACATCATTTTTAATCTGATCCTTAAGTTCGATTGCTCTAAATCATAGAAGTTTTTGTATGCTGAAAGCATTGAGACCTTCAAAAACATGTTTCTGAATAAAATCCCAGATATTTGCAGAAAGTGTGAGTGTACATAAATCTGATAAACAGCTGGAGTAATGGTTTATATGTTTATAGTAATATCACAAGACTATAGTAGAAGAATTAATAAGAAGAGTAATATAAATAGAACTCTTGCAACTACATTTTTTGGATTCTTTTTGTGCAATTCAAGATTTTTTATTTAGATTCTCTCCTGTGATACTTTTATATGTTCCATAATGATGGCAAAACTACTGCTCTGTCTATTGATTTTTTTTTTACCACTGCACTACTTGTTTTGATTATTATGCTGAATGTAACTTAAACCTGCCTTTTTTAGGCTTTTAATTCATGTTATGTAGTCACTTTCTGGAAATAAAAATGTCTTTACTCTTTCTGTATTTAATGTTTCTTCTAATACCAAATTGTTATCATCTACTGCTTCCTATATGTGACCAACACCATCTGTTGCATCTAAAATAGAATCAAGTACATAATCTATATTATTATCATCCAAATCCATGTCGATTTCTTGGATTTCCTTATCAAGATCAAAAAATTTATTAATATCAGATGGTGTTGACATGATGCACTGTTTTAATAATAAATACATCTATAATTTTAACATTAATAGCAAACTTTTGCATGAAATATTACTTTTCTCAAAACACAAACCAACCACAAGAAAAATGTTAATATATTTGTGAATCCTAATTATTAAGAGGCAAGAATTCAGAATGAAAGCTCTTTATTATGTGACAGTAGAGTAAAAGTAAAACATGACAGTAGAGCAAAAGTAATTTACCATTATATGAACAAAATAAAACTCGATGTATTAACTGTTTTATAATTGGGATAGATACATTAAAAAAAAAGATATCTTTATTATTGCGACAAATAAATTTTAAATATAAAAAAGTGACTGTCTAAGAAACTTTATTTAAGAGTAATTAGTCAAATAATAATATCAATTTAAGTAACAATCAAATGATCAATAATGATATCAATTTAAGTGATGCTTTAATAATGTCATGCTAAAGCCATCTGATAAGTGGTGTAACGATTTTGTCCAATCAGAGATAGAAAGATCATTGTCCAATCAGACAGTGGGGGTAAATAAGTAAAACTGGCTTGAACTAGTAGGATAAAGTAATTAGGTAATAAATTAGCTTCAGATAGAAGATAAATATGAGCTTTACTATGATTATTATTAATTGAAATAGTTAATATATAGGCATAAGATAAGCATTATCAGATAAATAGCCAAAGCTGTAAATATGTTATAAGAAAGAAATAATAGTTTGAGAATAAGAAAGCAGTAGTAGATAATTGTAGAATAAAAATTTGTTGTAGCAAATATTAAGTTAGATATTGTTATAATATTGTTTAGCTATGGTAGTTTCATCATAACCTTCTAAAATAGTTCTTACTAATTGAGACTAATTGTAGTTTATGTTATTTTTCTTTATAATTAGGTTAGTATTTGGTATATTATTGTTTATTTGAGAAAATTTAGAAGAAATAGGTATAGATGAATAATAAGTATAACTTGATAGTTGTGAAAAGAAATATTTAAATGAAGATTGGGATTTATTTAGTAAATATATATCATATTTACTATAATCAATTTTGATTAATATTGTAAGTATGTAATTAAAATTGTTTAGTTGTGAATAGTTGTAATAATAAATATGTTTTAAAAAAAAGCTAAGTGTTTGAAGATGTGAAAGTAGAGGTAGGTTCAAACATGCTAACCACATATTGTAGCATGAGTCTAGATCATATAGTGTATTGTAAGATGAGTTTTGTAATTCTTTCTTGATATAAAATAAAAAAATGTGATTCAAAAAAGTAGAGAGTTTTTCTGTAAATTCACTTACTGTATGCTCAGCTTGCACAGCTGTGCAAAATACCATATTCTGTTCTGTATATTAGGTCTGGCTGTTATTAACTTGGTCCTCTGCATAAATAGAACCTCTATCTATTTACATCATTCTTTTCTAAAAATGGTCTACTAAGTATAGAGGACATCATTATCTTAGAAGTAGTGGTTGCATTTATATACTCTACAGAAGAGTTTATTGAAAAGAATTATAAAAGAGTGTTGTAACATGATTTGGTTGTAAATTTTGTTTTATATTTTGATTAGTGTTATTAGTATTTGATTTTGACATAATAATATTATCATCAGAAAGTTCAGATGAATTATTATTTTCTTTGGATTTTAAGGATATTAATTTAGTAGAAGTGTTTAAATTAGAAAAGATAGATTTGGTTTTAGGTAGAATAAATTTAATATTAAATTTGAAATGTAAAATTTGTTGGACTTCAGAATAGAATTTTTTGTTGTAAGATTCTTTAATTAATGAAATAAAGAGTTTATTATTTTTAAGAATATAAAAGTATATAAGTACTCAGGCTAAGTCTTAGTACTAATAGGTTTGCTAGTGATTTTGTTAATAATTTGTTGTAAATAGTGATTGTTAATTTGATTATTACTGGCAGCAGTACTTAGATAAGCTTTAAAGAAGCTATAAAAGTAGTAGCTCTCTTGTACTTGGTTGATTTCAGTATTATTAAGTTTGGTAAATTCTTTTTCAGTATTAGAGACAAGTTGTCTAAAAAAAATAACATCATGAAATTTGTTAAAATACTTACTAAATACTTATCAAATAGTATTAAAATACTTAGCAATTACTTATTAAATATAAGGTATATTGAAATTGTAATTATAAATATTAATTTTAAATATTTATAAAGTCTTTAAAAATTAAATATTTAATAAATGTGGATGTGGCGACCTAGTGAAGTGGTCAGGTTGTCAACCCTTAAAGTGGTAGGTTGGATGTTCAAATCCCATTGACAGCAAAAATTTAAATAATCACCTATATAATATTCATATTACGGCAACTGTTACTAATGATTGGGTTAGGATATCTGTAATGGCAGTCACACCAGCATGACTGGTAGGTTATGGGGTATTTGTGTAACAAGTTACATGACATTGTCTTTTGGGACAAGGTTGTAGTTACGCAAAGGAATGCAAACTAGCAATTAGGTAGTGCAAACACTGGATAAGTCCTTGTGGCTGTGTAACTCTGTTGAAATTGGGTAACAAGAAGTTG